CCTTAAAGGGCTCCTGAAAGGGATCTGCAAGGGTTCAAGGGGCGCCGGAAAGGGGGGGGGAGGGGAGGGTTGGGTTTTCAGGGCCGTTGGTCGCAAGATATGGGATTGTTTGGCGTAGAGGTTTAGCATGTAGGGGTTTCCGTGTGCTGGTTTGTCTATAGGTGGACAGTGACGTCTTGTCGTGTTTACGTGGTGGTGGGGGGGGGGGGGGGGGNNATGATTGCCCCTAAACCCTAAACCCTAAACCCTAAACCCTAAACCGTGGCTGGTCGGTTTTCTGTTGATGCTTGGAGTGTTTCGTTGAATTTTCCAGCACTCGACATCATCCCGCAGCTGTGCCGAGTCAGACATTAGGATAGGTTTGGCCTAGTTACAGCATTAGGTCTTAGGCCTGCCTGATCTTGTCGGCAGGTCCCTAAACCCTAAACCCTAAACCCTAAACCCTAGACCCTAGACCCTAAACCCTAAACCCTAGCAGTGGCTCTCAACCGAGGATGTGGTCGTAGCCTGCGTAGGGGGCGGCTCCAATGCCATTGGCATGTTCACTGCCTTTCTGGAAGACAAGCAGGCTGCCCTCAGGGTCCATTTGGGGCAGTTGGGTCTTGGCTTCAGAGTTCACGGTTTAGGGATTTCTTCTTGGTTGCACAAAAAAGGTTCACAGGACAGTGTTTGGGACCGAGTACCCTACTGAAACAGTGTGCTTGGAGCCTCTATGCTCCGGGTTGAGGTTTGCTTAACGGATCATGGGACTTAGTAAGTAGGGTTAGAATGAAGGTAACTGCACTTATACTTACTTATGACCCTAATTAACGGGCTTATAACCTTACTTACTACGTCCCATGATCCTTCCAAAGTAGGGTCTTTCAGGGTTTTTTGAGGGTTTATGGGTGCAGGACCTTTTGGGGCGCAGGCGAAAGGCAGAATTTGAGCTTGGGAGTACTTGGAGGTTCATGGGTAGTTATGCGCGGGGTTCTAAGTAGGGTAACTATAATTCATCACCCATATTAGGGGACTTATAACCCTACCCCGTATCCTCAAAGGACTCTTATTTTGAGGCTTTTGGGCCCAAAGACCCTATTATATAAGGCTTCTGGGCTATTTTGATGCTAAGGGTACTTATAACTACCCATGAAGCTCCAAGTAGTGCTAGAAACTGAACCCGATAGGGTTGAGGATGGTGTAGGGCTCAGGGTTTACGTAGAGTTTGGGGTTTGGGGTTCAGGGTTTGCTTTTGTAGGGATTAGGGTTGAGGATTGAAGTATAAGTACAAGTTTGCGAGCGAGTAGTCCAACTTGTTCCTTGGGAAACATCTTCTCCTATTATTCTTATTCACGAAAGCACTGTGCAGGGTTCTTGGAGAAAAACACACCGCACCAAGTACCCCAAAGCACCTACCATCACAAGCAACACCGCACCAAGTACACCACAGCACCTAGACAGCCAATCTGTTAACATCTACATTACTTCTTAGCCTGGGGTTGGTTCGGCGGGGCTCTGGGCGATGAGCCCCTTTCAGGGATCGTGGTGCCCATCTAAGACACTTAGGCCTCAAATTAGCTATATAGGAAGCCTTTTAAGGCCTAAGATGGCCTAAGTATGTACTACATGGGCGCATGGAGCCTTCGGGTACCGTAGGGCTGCGGGTGTACGGGGTCAGACTCGCTGACTCCTGTGCTGCCGAGAATTTTGCAGGCTTAGTGTTCAGAGCCATGTCTAGCTTAAAGGCCGTAAACCCCTAAACCCTCATTGGAGCAAAAGGACAAAACGACACCCTAACCCTCCAGGTACCTACTAGATGGGGCCTTAGGGGCTCTAGCACCCTATATAATAATGGGTACCTGGGGGATTAGGGACAGGACAAAACGACAGCATTGAGCCCAAAATGCCGACAAACCACGCGCAGTTCTCCTAAACCCTAAACCCTAAAACCCTAAACCCTAAACCCTATCAGGTACGCATCGTCGGCGTGGAGGCTGGCGGTGAGCACGGCCCATGGTTGCCGGCTCCCCGACTACTTAAAGGATCATGGGACGTAGTAAGTAACAGGGTTTAGGGTTTAGGGTTAACTAAGTAGGGTTCCGTTAAAGGGTTCCTTCAAGGGATCTTAATAAGGGTTACTATAAGGGAGGTTTAGGGGTGCTTAAAGGATCATGGGACTTAGTAGGTAGGGTTCCGTTAAAGGGTTCCTTCAAGGGATCTATAGGGTTACTATAAGGGAGGTTTAGGGGTGCTTAAGGGATCATGGGACTTAGTAAGTAGGGTTATAATTGAGGTAACTCCACTTATATTTGCTTGTAACCCCAATTAAGGGACTTATAACATTACTTACCAAGTGGCATGATCCTCCAAGTAGCATGGATTATGACACCATCCCTTCATAGTCCGGGTATTCATCTGGGTAGTAAGGCTAGGGCTTTGGGCTATTAAGCTTTCTGGAGGTCACTAAACCCTAAACCCTAAACCCTAAACCCTAAACGTCAATGAGTATGTGCAGGCTTAGGATTTTGGGCTAGGGCACCTCCGAGGTCCAAAGTACAGCCTGCTTTTCTCTACTTTAAGGTTTAGGGTTAGGAGTTTAGGGTTTAGGGTTTAGGGTTTAGGGAATGGATCAGCTCTCTTGGTTGTTTGATGTTCGTATTTGGGGACTAGACTTCATCCTTCAGAATTTACTGGAGGAGAATTGGGCTCTCGTCGGTTGGCAGCGGAGTGGTTTGACTTGTTTGCTTTAAAGATCGGAGTTTAAGGAGTTGGGGATGTGGCTTCATGCAGTGCCTGAACGTCAGCCCAAAGGAGCTTGCCTATGAACCCTACAAGGCCAGAGCATCTTAAGACACCAACCTAGAAACCCCTAACGGAGCCTTCTAAAACCGGTACGCACCTGCTATAAGGCCCTAGAGCAGTGCATACTAAATTCCTCCTCATTCAATCCTAAACCCTAACCCCTAACCCCTAAACCCTAACCCCTAAACCCCTAAACCCCTAAACCCCTAAACCCCTAAACCCCTATAAGCCCCTAAACCACACGGCTTCGGGCCGAAGCATGCCTAAGCCCCGAGCCCTGAAGCTGGGGTTTGGCTTTTCGGGATTCGGGCTTGGGGTTTAGGGGTTTAGGGGTTTAGGGGCTTAGGGGTTTAGGGGTTTATGGGTTCAGGGTTGAGGGAGGGTTTAGGGTTTAGGGTTTAGGGGTTTAGGGTTTAGGTTTTAGGGTTTAGGGTTTAGGTGTTTAGGGTTCAGGGTTTAGGGTTTAGGGTGCCCTACAGCCAGTCGAGGATGGCACCGAGACAGACAAGCACTCCGCCACTCTGACGAAAGGCAGCGTCGGTCGCCCGGCAGTCAGTGGGAGCCTAGGTTTCTCAGCCCAGGGATCGTTCTTACTAACATCTAGTTTTAAGGCTCCTTTGTGTAAGGTTTCAATAAGGGCTCGGTAAAGCGGTTTTGGAGGGATTAAGATGGAGGTCTGAAGAACCAGAAAATCACACTCACTCAAAGTGCAAAGTATGATTGTACTATAGTTTCGATGAAGCCCCGAAAGTTTCGAGAGGTATCCATAAGGAGATACAATGTGTATATGTTTATTGGCTTGTGTTGTTTACAAAATAGTGTTTCGCGTTTACCGTTTTCTCCAGAACCCTTACAACACCTACAAAACTCTGTGGGGAACCCTGAGAAAGGATGCTACTACTACGTCCGCGTGACCTCCAGAATCTTTCCCTAAACTTTCACAAAACGACTCGACACCTTGCAGGCACCTGTAAAATCCAAGAAAACGCGCAAGACCTCATCCGGGCGCACTGAGGTAATATAGGGGCCTAAATAGATACCAATATTATTGTTAGGGCTCCTTGATTATTATATTTGTCGTATAATGAGCCCTTCTAATTATTAAGAGCCCTACACAAAGCACAGGTAAAACCTCAACGCTGTAAAGCTCTAGATATAGGCATGATAACAGGACCTTGCAGACAGTCAACGAAGTGTGACATGTTGCAACTTCCTTGAACTTTTGCCCTAAACCCCAAAGCCCCTGAACCCATGAACTCAACCTTTCAGCCTTCGAGCGATGATCTTACTATAGAGCCCTAAATAATTACTAATACATATTTTTTGGGGGGGTCCTTATTATAAGTATATAATGGACCCCATAACCCTATTGTAACCATTAAGGCCCCCTAATATCTAACCCTATCACAGATCTCTTATAGGATCCTTTAAAGGTCCCATCAAAGGAACCCTATTCTAAGTATTAAGGCCCAAATATCAGTGTTCCAGACTTTTCGGTTTATCGACACAGGCTTTCGGGCCTATGTTCTCTCTCAGTCACTAGCGGCTTACTGGCGTGCAAGACCACAAAACTACCATCCGAAGCCCAAGGTTTGAGTCTAGAGCTTAGGGTTTAGGGTTTCGGGTTCGGGTTTAGGCTTTTGACGAAACCCTAAACCCGAAAACCTACACCCGAAAGCATCTTTGAGCGACGACTCATCTCAGGCGTTCTCCACGGTTCCCGGACGTACCTGCTTCAGTCCCCGGACGGTTACTTGCCGATATTCCTGTCATAGTCATAGTGTTTTAGGGCTTAGGGTGTTTAGGGGTTTACATCGGTTAAGTATTTGGGTAGTTTTCTAAATTAGGGTCCCATCAGGGTGCCGTACTTTATTGGGGACCTGGAAGGGGACCCAAATTTAGAGAACTGCCCATTTGAGAACTATACAGGGCTAAGGACCCTAAACCCTAAACCCAGCCCTAAACCCTAAACCCTAAACCGTAAACCCTAAATTCTTCCGACCTCTGTGTCTGGTTTCGTCGTTTCCCCACGAACTTCAGGTTTCATGTTTCTCGGTGTCCAAGTACCTAAAAATCTCCCCCAGCAACTCGCCTACTTGAAGGATCGTGGGACTTAGCTAGTATTGTTATAATTAAGGTAGCTGTACTTATATTTACCTTTAACCCCAATTAAGGAACTTACAACCTTACTTACTAAGCCCCATGATCCTCCAAGCAGATTACTAGTATCCTCCCTCCCCTGGTCCTTTACCAAGATGGCTTCCGCTTTCAAGCTGATCGCGCGGCCTAAACCCCACGTCCACAATCCCCAAGCCTTCAACACATGTAAGGGTTTCCGAAAATAGGGGACCCTACTATAGTACCCTAAATGATAGGATCCTTATTATAAGGACCCCAAAATAAGGTACCCCCCTATGTTCGGAAA